TGAGCTGAGGGAATACTGTGTATACCCCGAGTCCTATCAACACCCAGCTAGAGATTGAGCTGAGGGAATACTGTGTATACCCCGAGTCCTATCAACACCCAGCTAGAGATTGAGCTGAGGGAATACTGTGTATACCCCGAGTCCTATCAACACCCAGCTAGAGATTGAGCTGAGGGAATACTGTGTATACCCCGAGTCCTATCAACACCCAGCTAGAGATTGAGCTGAGGGAATACTGTGTATACCCCGAGTCCTATCAACACCCAGCTAGAGATTGAGCTGAGGGAATACTGTGTATACCCCGAGTCCTATCAACACCCAGCTAGAGATTGAGCTGAGGGAATACTGTGTATACCCCGAGTCCTATCAACACCCAGCTAGAGATTGAGCTGAGGGAATACTGTGTATACCCCGAGTCCTATCAACACCCAGCTAGAGATTGAGCTGAGGGAATACTGTGTATACCCCGAGTCCTATCAACACCCACCTAGAGATTGAGCTGAGGTAATACTGTGTATACACGGAGTCCTATCAACACCCAGCTAGATATTGAGCTGAGGGAATACTGTGTATTCCCTGAGTCTTATCAACACCCAGCTAGAGATGGAGCTGGGGGAATACTGTGTATACCCCGAGTCTTATCAACACCCACCTAGAGATTGAGCTGAGGAAATACTGTGTATACCCCGAGTCCTATCAACACCCAGCTGGAGATTGAGCTGAGGGAATACTGTGTATTCCCTGAGTCTTATCAACACCCAGCTAGAGATGGAGCTGGGGGAATACTGTGTATACCCCGAGTCTTATCAACACCCAGCTAGAGATTGATCTGAGGGAATACTGTGTATACCCTGAGTCGTATCAACACCCAGCTAGAGATTGAGCTGGGGGAATACTGTGTATACCCCGCGTCCTATCAACACCCACCTAGAGATTGAGCTGAGGTAATACTGTGTATACACGGAGTCCTATCAACACCCAGCTAGAGAATGAGCTGAGGGAATACTGTGTATACACCGAGTCCTATCAACACCCAGCTGGAGATTGAGCTGAGGGAATACTGTGTATCCCCCGAGTCCTATCAACACCCAGCTGGAGATTGAGCTGAGGGAATACTGTGTATTCCCTGAGTCTTATCAACACCCAGCTAGAGATTGATCTGAGGGAATACTGTGTATACCACGAGTCCTAACAACACCCAGCTAGAGATTGAGCTGGGGGAATACTGTGTATACCCCGAGTCTTATCAACACCCAGCTAGAGATTGATCTGAGGGAATACTGTGTATACCACGAGTCCTAACAACACCCAGCTAGAGATTGAGCTGGGGGAATACTGTGTATACCCCGAGTCTTATCAACACCCACCTAGAGATTGAGCTGAGGAAATACTGTGTATACCCCGAGTCCTATCAACTCCCAGCTAGAGATTGAGCTGAGGAAATACTGTGTATACCCCGAGTCCTATCAACTCCCAGCTAGAGATTGAGCTGAGGTAATCCTGTGTATACCCCGAGTCCTATCAACACCGAGCTAGAGATTGAGCTGAGGGAATACTGTGTATGCCCTGAGTCTTATCAACACCCAGCTAGAGATGGAGCTGGGGGAATACTGTGTATACCCCGAGTCTTATCAACACCCACCTAGAGATTGAGCTGAGGTAATACTGTGTATGCCCTGAGTCTTATCAACACCCAGCTAGAGATGGAGCTGGGGGAATACTGTGTATACCCCGCGTCCTATCAACACCCACCTAGAGATTGAGCTGAGGGAATACTGTGTATACTCCGAGTCCTATCAACTCCCAGCTAGAGATTGAGCTGAGGGAATGCTGTGTATACCACGAGTCCTATCAACACCCAGCTAGAGAATGAGCTGAGGGAATACTGTGTATACTCCGAGTCCTATCAACACCCAGCTAGCGATTGAGCTGAGGGAATACTGTGTATACCACGAGTCCTATCAACATTTTTGAGAGGTATATATAAAAAAAAATGTCTCTTAACAAAGGAAGTCTCTTAATACAGGTTTAGTTTACAAAGAAACCATTACAATGGGGAAGGTTAAAAGTGGTCTACAATGGGGGAGGTTAAAAGTGTTCACTTAACATAGATGGTCTCCTAATAGATGTGATTTCATGAGCAAGAATCACATTGTGTCCTTATGTGTAAGTGTTAGAAAATAAACAAGAAAGATTATAACAAATTATTATAATTTTTATATAAAAATTGTAATATGAAATATAAAAATAAAAAATGACATAACAAAAGACCAAGAGGGCCTGTATCGCTCACCTGGATATTTAAGCAATCATGGCAAATTATTATCATTTCAAGTATTTCTATATACTGGGGTCACTCTATCTGGTCCCAAGGATACTTCATAGCATTTGACTTATATCCATATATTTGTGTATATGGTTATAGGATTGGGCTCTCAATCCTTTCTATGCTATGACCCTGGGACTAAGTCCCCTGGGGCTGGGCAAGACCTAAGAGCTGATCCTAGTAGCATGGTTATGTTTTTCTTCTGATGCCCAGCAAACAATATTATTCATGGTAATCTCAACCGTTGACAAGTAATAACCATTCATGCCCAGCAACAATAGGCCAATCCTAAAGGCATGATCTGTGTTCCTCTCTTCATGTGCAGTGATTTACATATGGTTAAGTAGGATCAAATCTTAACAGTGTCTGTGATATGACACAGCACTTTGACGGCTTTTCTTTGCCTTTTTCATGCACAGTAGTGGGGTTATGACCAGACCATGGCTAATCATGATAGCCTGAGTTTAACTGTCTCTTCATACTAAGCAAACATATACTTGGAGATTGATTGGGATCGCAACAGGTTCCAAGTTTACAGAAGTAGGGCCAGACCCTGGTGAATATCCTTGTGGGGATCTCAACAGCTTTTAAGCTATTCACAACTGATATTTTTTACCCATAATAGCTTTGTTGACATCCTGGGTAGTGTTTAGATAATGTTGTATAAAGTTTCTAATATATTTGACCCCTGTGACCTTGAAAGTTTGTCAAAGTCATTCTGTATAATGAAAATGGGAAAGTTGAACGCCTCTTTGCGATCATTAGCAATGTAACTTGACAAATGTCTCTGGTCAATGGTTCTAATTGACTTTTCAAATAATGGCACAATATATCAGAAATATTGTATCATGGCTTTGGTTTATAGACCTTCTGATAATGTGATAGAACAGATTTGACCCCTGTGACTTTGAATATGAGTCAATATCATTTCTTTTCACAAACTTTGAATCCATAGACTATACCTCTGTGGTTTTGAATATGGCTCAAGGCAATGTGTTACAAACTTTGTAGTATGTCATGCCAAAAGCCTACTGGCATATTATCATGATTCTATCATTTTCTGTTCTCCATTTGAAGACACTGATGTGGTTAACAGATTTTATCTGTAACTATGAATTGAAGTACAGGTCATTTCCCCAAAACCTTTTGGTCAAACATTTTACAGCTCTAAACTCTTCTGTAACTTTGTAGTATATCATACCAAAATGTTACTGGTAAGATATAACGACTCTACGCCTTTTTATTCTCCAGATAAAAAGCGCTATGAGTACTTAGTAGCCAAGGTCATTTCCTTTCCTAAAACTTGTAACATATTGAATGCTAGCAAGCTGCTGACTATATATCATCACTCTAAGCCATTGGCTCATCAGAAGAAGCTGTTTTAATAAATTTAACCCCTATGACCTTTAATATAGATCGAGGTTATTATCTTTTTTCTCCAAGCTTTGTATGTCTTATTGCCAGTAAGCTATACATCAACATTTTATGACTCTTGGCTTAAGGTTCTTCAGAGGAAGTCATTTAATCTTTTAACAGATTAAACCTCTGTGACCTTGAATATAGGTCAATGTCACTTCCTTTCACACATTTCATTGCATATTCTATGTTAGCCAGCTACTGGCAACATTTTATAACTCTAGGCCTTTTGGTTCTTATGAAAACATTTGAGTGTTTTATTAGATTTGATCGAACCCTGTATAATCTTTAATATCAATCAAGGTCATTTATTTGTGTAAACTTTGTAGTATATCATGCCAGAAAACTACTGGCCAAATATCATAACCCTAAGTCACATATTGCAAACTGTCCCTTGTGGCTCCATTTAGGCATAGATTCATTCACCAGCTTTGTAGTACGTCCTCTCCAGTAGTTATGAAGAAGAAGTTGTTAAAAGAAAAAGTTCAAGGTCATAGGAAGATAGATTGTAATGGATTGCAATAACTCATTCAGCCTTTCAGGGCCTTAGGACAGCTAAAATGTTGACAGACAGACAAAAGACGCTTCACCATTGGCCCACAGACACTTCCTACCAAGGGAGCTAAAAACTATTTACTGACTATATTTGTCAAACAACTCTTTACAATATGCAAACATTTACTGTTGCTAGACTGATTCAAACCATCTATCTTCTAGAGCATTGCTTTAACTAACTTCTTGGAACCTTAAACACAAATACTTTTTCATAAATGTTAAAAAAAAATCAATCATATATGCAGATTAATATATACGTAGATAACCGATCTCAGTAGAGATCAGGTTAACATGTATTTCACATTTATCCTTAACTCACCAGCGTAATAAACTCTGGTGTAGGCAGGCCAAACCCTGCATACTCAGATGTTTGTTTGTCCAGAATGAGGCTTGTCTGGGTTCTGCACACTCAAATATCCGACGCTTAGAGTTGAAATGTTTCTGTCTACATCCACAAAATTGATTGATTCTATATATCTTGCCTGTTATTTCAGCATTGAAATTCAGCTATCACATTGTGCTTAAGTTGATTTTTGACATGACCCATGTCAATTAAGGTGCAATATCAGCTGTTCCAAACACAGCAATGTCTATAGTGCCCTAGAAAATAGCTGATTGTAACCAAAATGCATACTGAAGGTAAAATAAAGGTCAAAAGATAAATAAATAACACTAGGGAAACAATAACAAAACATGATCATACTTTAACATTACCGCCACCTGGAGCATGTTTCGCATTTTCAAGGGAGCCGATTCTGGAACCAGTATTCCACTGGACTTTCTCATCTAAAATCTGAATTTTAAACACCTTATCAATATCTACTAGCTAACAAAAATGGTATGTGGAAGGATAAAAGTCTGATGCTGTGTGCTGTTTGTTGTAAAATGTTGAGTGAATAAGTATTTATGTGAATAAAAATGTTGAAGGTAATAATAGTGTAACTGGGTTCTAATCAACACTTTCCTTTAGACTAGATTAATATAAATGACAGAGAGCTTTAGTAGACTGTTTCTAGGATATAGGGTCAGGTACTAGGGATCAGCTATGAAGTATTAAAGATGTGTTTGACCTTAAAGTTTTCTATATAGACTAACTTCCCTAATGGCATACTCAAGTGTGTTGGTACATTGTATAAAGTGTTCGTACTTTCACATTACCGCCACCTGGTGCATGTTTCGCATTGTCAAGGGAGCCAACTCTGGGACCAGTATTCCACTGGACTTTCTCATCTAAAATCTGAATTTTAAACATTTATTTGAGAAATACTTCATCTCCTTTGCCATTCTCTTTTCTAAATCTTAATTGCATAAATATCATTTATCAAAATAAATGTTTGATTATTGTCCACTATGAACCTAATTAAATGTTAGCAAAAAGCTCACACATTGTTAATTCAGCAATAAAAAGCCACTCAAAATGTTACTTAATTGTTTCCCACATGATTTCTAAGGCATTTCAAAGTTCCATTCTGCAGAGTAACTTTATCAAAGTCATTCTGTAATTAACAGTGATGGCTAAGCCAAGCCACCAAATTTCACTTTCTCACAACTGAAATTAATTCTAGCGGTGAATTGTACATTTTGGGATGCTGATTTATGATGTCATCAAAGTAATTTCAAACTATTTGTGAAGCAAGCACACTGATAGCAAATCAAACCATACATGGAAGGAACCAAGAGAGTTCTACAATACCAGGTGTCCGTATAAGCTAATGATTGTGAATGAATCCATTAATCAATGCACGTATTTATACCATGATGTAATACTTAAATGAGATACTGAATCATGCTAAAAGATATACATGTATCAGTAAGAACATAACAAGGAAAGTTTATTTTCAATATTAACACTTTTTTAAAATGTTGCATACTTTGACTTTACCGCCACCTGGTGCATGTTTGGCATTGTCAAGGGAGCCAACCCTGGATTCAGCTTTCCACTCAAGTTTCTTGGACAAAATCTAAATAAAAAAGAAAAAAGGAAGCACACAAATAAAACCCTACAGCTGAAACAGTTCAAAATCGCCATCAGTAAGCATTAGGAAAACAGCCATATTTCATCATCAAGGAGGATAACTCTAGTCACCCATTAATCACATCATGCATAATGTAACAAATTTCATCGGAAATCATTAATTCATTCTGAGCTTTAAATGTGACCAAATTGACAACAAAATTTTATGTCTAAAAATCTGCTTGAAAATTGATTTTTTTTTATACCAGAGGGATTAACTCCCTATGCATGGCTAAGGGCTAACCCCAAGGCCAATCCTGGTAGTGCAACTATATCTGTCATACCCAGCGATTGTATATATAGTTACAGGGCAGGGATCTCACTACTGTTGTGACTCAGGGACAAAGTCCAAAGGGGGCAGGAGTCGGACTCCAGGTTTGTATATTGTAAACCTTCATCAAAATCCAGTCGTATTTCATACAGTTACTGTGTGGAAACCTACATACAATCAGAGTGCGGTATGCTTATACATTATGAACAGATTTTGCTCAACTTCAAACTCCGGCCTTTGTCTTTCTTTATACACAATTATTGGTTTGGAAGTTGTAAACAATTCCAAGCACAGCATCTAAATACTTATGCCCAAATTTTGCTCAACTTTGAATTTAGCCCCAGTCTATCAAAATAACAAAATCTGGATTTTATTCTATTGTTTTGAATTGCGCTTTAAGTAATCCAAGATGGCAACCGTCTTAAGTTAAATGTACATGCTCTACCATTGTTTCAGCACAGTCGAAATGTATTTACGTGAGAGAAACTAGTTCATAGTAAATGTATCATGTGTTTGTTTTTAAAGCCTTTACCAGCAATTTTCTTATATTAACTAATTATCAGCATTGACTGTGCTAAGGAGACCTGGAGATAATTGTTTCCGGCTTGAGTCAACACAAGTAAACATTTGTCGATCGCGTTCTTTGGTCCCCCTCCTCGCCTAATTTCACGTCCCCGGAGGTACGTGTGACAGTGGTGAGGACTGGATCAGTGACTTGTATTGATAGTCCCAGGGGCTTGTTCAGTGATAGGAGAGGAGAATTTTCTCCTGTTACTTCTGGCTTACATGGTGTTGGTTAGACTTAATTAGCATGAGCGAGTATTAAATATGTGAGTATCCCACAACACCAGAGCACGCAACCGTGCTCTCAGGCACATACTGGCCAAATATCAGCACCCTGGGTCTTTCATTTCTTAAGAAGAAGTCATTCAAATAAAAGTGTGTGGATTAATTGACAGAAGACAGATAATAGATGCTGCACATTATCACAAGCTCAAAGGCAATTTTAGGTGAACTATAAATTAAAAATGTGTTTACATACAGCAAAAACGTCAAGGAAGATAAGCCCAAAAGATGCTTGTGTGATATTGTCAGTAAAGTGTCAGAATAAACCGACTAATTGTTATTAGTTTAAATAACATTGTAGTCAAAAATTGTTAGAGGATCATGGGAGGTTCAAACCACATATTTCATATCAATGAATATCAAGCAAACAGTGCCTACACTTCACACAGGTTTCTGTTTAATTTTTCATGCCAAATCTTATCCAAACTAAATATAATATGCCCATGCTTCATTTTTATAACATTTAAATCATTTTCTGGAGGATAGTATCAAATATTTAAATAACTACTGATGCTCGTTTGTCTATAACATTTTTGAGACACCATAGAACTCATTACTGAAGAGAACTGTTACATCAAAGACAGTAAACTTCTCACTAAAACTATATGAAACAAAACCGCAAATACACACACCAGGAGGAAAGAGCATAGCGTGGTGAGAAAACATATATAGGAAATACTGTAATATCTGAAATAGTACACGTTATTTCCAATTGAATATATGCCCAGACCCAACAAGAACAAAACCCAAGTCAAAAAGGTGCTGCACTGTCCTCTGGTGGTGGGAAGACTGAACTCCCTTCCCTCTGGTATACTGTTACCTTTTTGTCTCCGCCTTTTGGTCGATGGTCTAGGTTGGCCTTCGACCCTATCTTGCCTTGCACTGTAGAGTAGTCAACTTTCTGGTGGGCAATTTTCACCTGTAAAAGTAAACAGGCTTTAGACAATTGTATGTAATATATATCTGCAACTCTTCATCAAGTGGGCCTTTATCTCTCACCTTTTATTCATCTTGCATGTGACCTTCAAAAACGGTCAATGTCAAATGTATTTATAGCATTCTACACCAATATGTTATATATGTCTTCAGATGCTGATTGAGTATTAAAACAAATTTGGCACCTGTTCAAGGTCAAGGTCAAGGTCATTCCTTTTTTACAAATTTTAGCGAGGTTTTGACCAGATATTGTGTCAAGAAAACTATCGGTCCAAGTAATGAAACGAAATAATCTGATTGTTATAATAAATGATCAGTTTTTGGGTTTTGGTCAGGATTTTACTAATTTGTTTAACAACTAGAACATGTCTGTAAGACATGAATGCCCCGTCACCATGTGAAATTAAGTTTCTGTGTTTGATGTTCTATAAATAGATACAATGACTTTGATTTTGACAACCTGAAATACTTCAAGTTGATAAATTGATTTAAACATTCATACAAATGAATGTCCTTTTTTGCATGAACCACAGTTTTGTAAGTCTCCATGAATTAATATTTAGACAGTGTCCTGTATGGAAGATGAGTTATAATGTATCTGGATATAAAACATCTGATATTGTGGTGGTTGTCAGTTTTAATAATTAAAACATTATTAAGAAAAAATGAACTCAACTAAGATATTCTCATACTTAAAATCTGTATTAAATCTGTTCAGAAATGAAGTAGTTAGAGTAAGAACAATACTTGATGATTTTCTATATACAGCTACAGTGACCCTGGCCTTGACCTTGGAAATATATACACAGAGATGTCAGAGGTATTCTCATAGTTGACAGTTGTATAAAGTTTGATCAAAATCCATCAGGAAATGAAGTTGGTTAACTGATTTCACTGAATTGGTTGATGATATTCTATAAATAGTAATATTGACCTTGACCTTGGAAACCTAAAACACAAACTCATCTGATGACTGATGTATTTGCATACTTTTGACAGTTGTATAAAGTTTGATGAAAATCCATCAAAAAATAAAGTTTATAGAGTGATGACATTGAATCGTGACGGAGCGAGACGAGATCAAGGACAACACTATATGCCCCCCCCCACAACAAAACCAAAAAATAAGTAGCTTCACTGTGTGGGTTAGCCTGTGAAATGGCAAGTTTCTAGTAAACTTTAACTGTCTGCTGAAAATATTTGCAGATGGCTGGCTGGCAAATATATTGGCCATTTCAGACTGCAGGAAGATGTAAAAACTAAGAATATTAAGCCAGAATATGATAAACAACCATTTGAAGGAAGATTACAGTAAAACAGCTGTTCTCAGCTATTCATAGCCCATGGCTGCCATCTTGAATTGGTTCTAGAAGTAAGAACCTTTTGTCAAGACCATGTTAGGAACATTTGCACCATGTGTGAACCCAATAGCTGTAGCTCTTCTTTAGAAGATGAAAATAGCTCAGCCAATCAGAGCTAAGGGCAGGCATTCTGAATACAGAGGTAGGAGTGGAGGGCAGTATCAGATTTTACCAAAAGTTGACAATATGTTAGCTAATCAGGAGTTTTTAAATAATATAGGTCAAGGTTGGAAAATGAGACCAAATTAAAGTGACCTTTTTTGCTCAAAAAACAAACATTTTCTTTGTTAATTTCTGAACCGATGACAGTTTTTCACAATGTAGGTCGTTAGCAGTGACAAAATGCAATTAAACAACAGTTTTAGACTGATTTCTGTATCTGATGTTCCTTTTTAATAGATAGTATATAGAATGCAAACTGATACACCGTACATTATACTGGCTTCAAGTCTGTAAGATTGTAGAAAGAGTGTGAACTGATACACCGTACATTATACTGGCTTAAAGTCTGTAAGATTGTATAGAGAGTGTAAACTGATACACCATACATTATACTGGCTTCAATTCTGTAAGATTGTGTAGAGAGTGTAAACTGATACACCGTACATTATACTGGCTTCAAGTCTGTAAGATTGTATAGAGTGTAAACCGATACACCGTACATTATACTGGCTTCAAGTCTGTAAGATTGTATAAAGAGTGTGAACTGATACACCGTACATTATACTGGCTTCAAGTCTGTAAGATTGTATAGAGAGTGTAAACTGATACACCATACATTATACTGGCTTCAAGTCTGTAAGATTGTGTAGAGAGTGTAAACTGATACACCGTACATTATACTGGCTTCAAGTCTGTAAGATTGCGTAGAGAGTGTAAACTGATACACAGTACATTATACTGGCTTCAAGTCTGTGAGATTGTATAGAGAATGTAAACTGATACACCTTACATTATACTGGCTTCAAGTCTGTAAGATTGTATAGAGAGTGTAAACTGGCTAGAATCAATACTTCCAGGTACTTTGTATCAGTAAGGTCTGATTCTCTGATTTACCACTATCACAATAGGTCCCTATCTAGCTTATCTATAAACTCCAGATTTTCCTTGGACAGGGTCCATGAAGTAGGACTGCAGCCTAGAAAAAGATGGCTGTCTGGCAATCAGGCAGCCATCTTGTTTATCTGACCAGTCTAAAATGAAACATGCATAACTAATGGCAACCTACATGTACCTATGAAATTCACGAAAAGATCTGTTGGGTAAATTTCGATCAATCACAATAACAAGCTTGAATAATCTAATCCGAGAAGGTTGCCTGGTGGCAATCTTGTTTTCCTTAGTAGTCTCAAATAAAACATCCATAAATAAACACCAAGAGATATCTTTGTATTAAACTTTCATGCATAAGTGTTTTATTTTCTGCACCATATACATACATTTCCTCCTCCTGGACTGTGAGTGGAATTTTTCAGCGAATCAATTTTAGACTGGACATGCTTTGTGTCTGGTGCTGATCCTTTAGGTGTTGTAGGCTTGGCTTTGGCTGTAATAACAAAACACACTCATCAAACCTTTTATTTCACTTAGCTTTAAGTCTAAGAGTCGAAGCCTCCTCATCCCAACCCACATGCCTCTATAAATCATACTTTAACCAGACTGTTATTCCCAAAAAGCAGTTAACTGAAAATGATTTTGTCTCCATACAAGAGCCCCAACAGACCTTAACACTAAATTGATTTAAATGGCTTTTCTTTTCACATTTCGAAGTACCCCAAGTAACCAATCCACTACAGGCCTATTGTTCTAAACCTTTTAGTTTGTTAGGAGAAGTTGTTTTTAGTGCTGAAACAAGAACCTTGACTATGAATAAATGAAATTTTTTCACAAAAATTTGTCAACAAGCTATAAGCCAAAAACGTTTAATTTAAGACCTTTTGGTTCTGCAAGACAAATCATTTGATTATTTATTAACCAATATGACCCTGGTGACCTTGATTTTAGGTCAAGGTCATATTTTTTAGCAAACTTTTAACACTCCAAGCAAGCAAAATACTGGCTAATGAACATAACACTAGACCTATTGGTTACCCAAATATAAATTGAAGTGTTGTCTTTCTGCAAATGTTATAGCACTCCAAAGAGGTAATTTAAGATTTTTAACAAATTTGATTTTTTTTACCTTGAATACTGTTCAATGTTACATTATTTCTTATTGCTAAAACTGTAGCATCAATCCAGCAAGCTACTGGCCAAATCTTATTCTAGACCTTTCTGTTCTTAAGAAGATGATGTTTGAGTGTTTTTACATTCAAATAAAATACACAAAGTGTTGCATTAAAGCCCCCCCCCNGATCATCAACACCTTTGAATGGTTTTAATGAAATGCTGTTGACCTACATCACATAGTTAAAGGGGAGAAATTGCAAAGAGCAGTATGGCCAAATTATCCCTTTTTGACCCCACCCTCAGTCTTAAAGAAATACAGCCTAATTACACCTTTTATAGAGCCCTGTCCATAAGCCCTCAGGGCTAAGCCATGTCCATAAGCCCCCAGGGCTAAGCCCTGTCAATAAGCCCTCAGGGCTGAGCCCTGTCCATAAGCCCCCAGGGCTAAGCCTCTCCAAATTAACGTGTCTGAACCTCCACAGTATGAGGATGCTTTCCACCCAATAGTGATGATTTTCATCACAGAGTTTGAGAGAAAAAGACTTATAGCAATATGGCAAAAATGACACCCTTTTGGCCCAAAGCTTTAGCTGCTCCATTTGTACAATTAAGAATCTCCAACAGCTGAAGATATTACCAGTCAAATTAGTTCACCATCAAATGTCGTTTGAAGATATTGTTGACGGATTGACTACAACTAGACAGATGACTGATGTTACAGTACAAAATAAGCTCACCGTCATCTTTCAGACTTGGTGAGCTGTTAATTAATCATTGTAAAGTTATGTCCTAAATTTTCATTACATTTGACAATAAAAACTATTAAATTCAATGTTGACAACAGCAGATATACACACCACCTTACCTACCTATGATCATGTTTGTAGGTGGTACAATCTACGGTTTGGACTGTGTGTCCATTAAATGATATACCACACAATACACTTCACAAAGAAACTGGACATCCAGTGCAAGTCCTCACCATAATCCAGATCCATTTACGTCCCCACACTCAATAATGTTTACTCCACGACACACGAGCCACAATGTGACAGAAATACCACAAGACAAAATAACAGTGGGTCCAATTTAAACATATCAATGTCCAATATCATTAAATAGACCACACATCTGATATTGTGTTCCAAAGATCGGCAGATTATAGACACAGGAAAGACAATGGGAGTCACAAGATTGACCGATTCAAGGAAAGACAATGTGAGTCATGAGATGGATAGATAAAAAGATATATACAAATATGTCATGTATGCCTGTATAGACCCATTAAATGAATAGAAACATTAGCACACAACTATGAAAGAACCAGGTATATTTGGAGACAAGGTATTATTTTTGTATAGATTTACCCTTTCTGTTATATCACTATAAATATTCAAACAGTTTCGTTCATACTGAAACATCACAGAATATTGGTTACAAGACTGACACATCACAGAATATGGGTGCCACTACTGACACATCACAAAATATTGATGCCATTACTGACACATCATAGAATATTGGTGTCACTACTGATGCATCACAGAATATTGGTGTCACTACTGACACATCACAGAATATTTGTGTCACTACTGACACATCACAGAATATTGGTGCCACAACTGACACATCACAGAATATTAGTGCCACTACCAACACATCACAAAATATTGGTGTCACTACTGACAAATCATATAATATTGATGCCAGTACTGACACATCACAGAATATTGATGCAACTACTGACACATTATAGAATATTGGTTCCACTATTGACACTTCACAAAATATTGGTGCCACTAAAGTCACATCACAGAATATTGGTGCCACTTCTGACACATCACAGAATGTTGGTGCCACTACTGACACATCACAGAATATGGGTGCCACTATTGACACTTCACAAAATATTGGTGCCACTAAAGTCACATCACAGAATATTGGTGCCACTTCTGACACATCACAGAATGTTGGTGCCACTACTGACACATCACAGAATATTGGTGCCACTACTGACACATCACAGAATATTGATGCCATTACTGCCACATCACAGAATATTGATGTCACTACTGACAATACTGAGACATTATATAATATTTGTAACAATACTGACACATCAATGTATATTGATGCCACTACTGACACATCACAGAATAAGGGTGCCACTACTGACAATTCATAAAATATTGATGCCACTACTGACACATCACAGAATATGGGTGCCACTACTGACAATTCACAAAATATTGATGCCACTACTGACATATCACAGAATATTGATGCCACTACTGACATATCACAGAATATGGGTGCCACTACTGACAATTCACAAAATAATGATGCTTCTACTGACGCATCACAGGATATTGATGCCACTACTGACACATCATAGAATATTGATGCCACTACTGACACATTAAATATATTGATGCCACTACTGACACATCACAGAATTTTGGCACCACTACTGACACATCACAAAATATTGATGCCACTACTGACACATCATAGAATGTTGATGCCACTACTGACACATCACAGAATATTGATGCCACTACTGTCACATCACAGAATATTGGTGCCACTATACTGACACATTAAATATTTTGATGCCACTACTGACACATCACAGAATATTGGTGCCACTACTGACACATCACAAAATATTGATGCCACTACTGACTGTAAGGACAGTTAAGAAGCCTGGTAGTGAAAAATCCCTGTTTCATTTTACCAGAGATTATGTAAGGACAGTTAACAAGCTAGGTAGCGTGAAATCCCTGGATGCCATTACTGCCACATCACAGAATATTGATGTCACTACTGACAATACTGAGACATTATATAATATTTGTAACAATACTGACACATCAATGTATATTGATGCCACTACTGACACATTAAATATATTGATGCCACTACTGACACATTAAATATATTGATGCCACTACTGACACATCACAGAATTTTGGCACCACTACTGACACATCACAAAATATTGATGCCACTACTGACACATCATAGAATATTGATGCCACTACTGACATATCACAGAATATGGGTGCCACTATTGACACTTCACAAAATATTGGTGCCACTAAAGTCACATCACAGAATATTGGTGCCACGACTGACACATCACAAAATATTGATGCCGCTACTGACTGTAAGGACAGTTAAGAAGCCTGGGAGGGAGCAATCCCTGTTCCATTTTACCAGAGGTTATGTAAGGACAGTTAAGAAGCTAGGTAGCGTGAAATCCCTGGATGCCATTACTGCCACATCACAGAATATTGATGTCACTACTGACAATACTGAGACATTATATAATATTTGTAACAATACTGACACATCAATGTATATTGATGCCACTACTGACACATCCCAGAATAAGGGTGCCACTACTGACAATTCATAAAATATTGATGCCACTACTGACATATCACAGAATATTGATGCCACTACTGTCACATCACAGAATATTGGTGCCACTACTGACAAATCACAAAATATTGATGCCACTACTGACTGTAAGGACAGTTAAGAAGCCTGGTCGGGAGCAATCCCTGTTCCATTTTACCTGAGATTATGTAAGGACAGTTAAGAAGCGTGGTAGGGAGGAATCCCTGTTCCATTTTACCAGAGATTATGTAAAGACAGTTAACAAGCTAGGGAGCTTGAAATCCCTGTTCCATTTTACAAGAGATTATGTATGGACAGTTAAGAAGCTAGGTAGCGTGAAATCCCTGTTCCATTTTACCAGAGATTATGTAAGGACAGTTAAGAAGCTAGGTAGCATGAAAACTCTGCTCCATTTTATCAGAGATTATGTAAGGACAGTTAAGAAGCAGGGTAGTGAGCAATCCCTGCTCTATTTTACCAGAGATTATGCAAGGACAGTTAAGAAGCTAGGTAGTGAAATCCCTGCTCCATTTTATCAGAGATTATGTAAGGACAGTTAAGAAGCAGGATAGTGAGCAATCCCTGCTCCATTTTGTCAGAGATTATGTAAGGACAGTTAAGAAGCTAGGTAGCGTGAAATCCCTGTTCGATTTTACCAGAGATTATGTAAGGACAGTTACGAAGCTAGGTAGCGTGAAATCCCTGTTCCATTTTACCAGAGATTATGTAAGGACAGTTAAGAAGCCTGGTAGTGAGCAATTCCTGTTCCATTTCATCAGAGATTATGTAAGGACTGTTAAGAAGTCGGATAGTGAGCAATCCCTGTTCCATTTCACCAGAGATTATGTAAGGACAGTTAAGAAGCTAGGTAGCGAAATCCCTGTTCCATTTCACCAGAGATTATGTTAGGAAAGTTTAGAGGCCAGGTAGCTAGCATTCCCTGTCCCATTTCATCAGAGATTAAGTAAGGAA